TGGCGTTGTCGGCGGCCTCGTTGGCGTCGTCGGTGGCCTTCTGGAGAATTTGTCCTATAGCCTCGGGAAAAGCTCGTCGTCGGCGGCCTTGATGGCGCCGTCGGCGCCCTAGTGCAATTCTTCACATTTTGGTCCTTTTTGCTCCAAATTCGCTCCTTTTTTTGTCTTTTTGCTCCATTGACCCTAATTCATCATTCCTGCAACAAAACATCAAAAATACCTTTCTTTAAAGTGCAATATCATTAAAAACAGTATAAAAGAGGTATGAAAATCCCAACATATTTTTCTTTGGTCAACTGTTATAGCCAGTGTTGTCGATATCTTCTTCATTTTTGATAATGTATTCATCGGGATTTAGTATGATTTGAGGATTATTTTGGTAATAAAAATGGGGTTAAATTAGTTGTGGTTAGTTACTTCATTACTTTAGACAGTCAAAATGTAGCCGAAATCGCAATTTTTATAATCATAAGGCCCAAGGGGGCATAAAGATAATCATATAGAGTCAGTGAATTGAGGGATTTCTATTTCTCCTCAAATATGAGACAACCAATCTAACACGGGTAGCCCCCACCCCACCCTTCGCGCTATAAATCCTTGCTTTGTCCATGATCTCCTTCTTCGTCTCCCATTGCGGTGGCTTCTTTGGCGTGATTTCCAGCATTGGCTTCCCAGGGTGTAAACTCTGGTAGTGGTTTGTACTGAAGCGGTCTGAATCTAATCCAATATCTGCTTGGAGGATCTGTTCCAAATTGTACTCCATCTATCCTTATCTACATACAGATCTATCATAGTAATTGACCCAACCAAAATCATATTTACAAAAACTTTTTCAGAATCTTTTAAATATTCTTTTAGAATCGTTATATTTCCATTTTTGAAATTCCTCTCGAGCCATTCCTTGAAGCTAAAACAACTCTCTATGGTGTGTCCAAATAATCTGTGATAGGGGCAATAGTTGAGGTGATCATTCTTGTCAACCTTATCTGGCTTCTTGGGCTCAGACAATCTAAACTCAGGCTTCTTCATTAAGTTTCAGAACATCTTCGCTACGACATCATCCTTAAAGAAGTATACTCAGTTCAATCGAGTTGCCATCAAAGGATCTTCCATCCATCTGTTCTGTATGTTCGCCGTTGAAAAGACTATTGGTCAGGCAGACTGTATTGTTGACCATACTGCTACAGGACTAGCAGTACTGTGTTGGTTGCTAGTAATCCTGACGAGAGCCATCCATCTGTTCTGTATGTTCGCTGTTGAAAAGACTATTGGTCGGGCAGACTGTATTGCTGACCATACTGCTACAGGACTGGCAGTACTGTGTTGGTTGCTAGTAATCCTGACGAGACAACTCGGTCTTAATCCTCATTGGCTACTTGCCTTTGTCGACCACTGCCACTGTCTTGGACTTCTATTCAAACGTTTTAACCAGTCAAACAGTCTTTTTCAAAGACTCCATATGTTTTAAACTCCTCTTGTAAGCTGCTGATCTTGCTATGTAGCTTCTCAAACAAATTAATCGTAAGTCCCTTAAGCATGAAAGCTATCAGACCGGGAATACACTTGAGTAGGATCTCGATCGTGTGTTGTTCCTAAAGCTGAGGCTCACATTTCATGCTTAAGCTCCTCCATCTCAAAATATAGTCTACCAAGCTCTCGTTGGGCTCTGCCGCTCCACCACAAGATCTCCTAATGTGCCATGGTGGTGAGCTGCAGTGAACATTTTCACAAACAAGTTTTCCAATTCTGCAAATGTCTTGGAAGATCCATTTGGCAACTCTACATACCAATCAAATGCGATCCCTAAAAAACTGCTCACGAACTGGCAAAATAATAATGTTTCATTACCCCCGACATTGTAGCAGCTTGCCCGAAAGTGTGCAACGTGCTGTCAGTGGTTTCCCCTTTCATCAAAAGTCTTAAAGGTCGGCGACACAAAGCCCTTAGGATAAGGTATGACATCGAATTCCTCTAGGTAGGGTCTATCCTTTAAAATCGATGCACCTCCTTTAGATTGGGCTAAGGTTTCCCTCACTGATTAATCATCAGTTTGATATCTTTTTCTGATATCAAATTGTGGGTTGAATCCTTCTTCGGCAGCTCATCTTTGTTGGCTGAAGCAACTTTTTTCCTTCATTCATAATGTGCACAATCTCAGATTGGTTCACTTCCGGAGACACTATCTTGACTGTGACTATCCATCCATTCTCTTTTACATCCAACTAATTTGTTCATCTCTCAATTTGCAAGTCATCTGCGGCGTTCTCCTTGATAAAAGGTGGAGCATCGCGCACAGATGATGTGGCCCTGGTCTCAACGACATTGATTTGCGCAAACTCTTCAACCATGTAATTTGACAAGTCACAATCCTGGTCATCAACGTTTATTTCTTGTTCTTTCGCCCATTCTGCAATCTTGGTGCTGAGCTTCTCCACTTTATCATCGACCGCTTTTTCTTTAGCTACCTTGAGATCGGACGACTTTTCCTAAGAATCATTTCTTTCAGTGACGGGCTCTGAGGCAACGAAAACAACAAAGGTCAGAGTATTACTCATGATCCATCTTAAGGGCACACTCCCTGGCCTCTCTGAAGCTACTAGTGCGGCAACCTTAAGTATCCACACTTTTTTTCTCGAAGTTGATGCTTTGAGACGGGGTGTCTCGGTGTTGTCACTAGTGCATCAAAACAAAGAGTGTTCTCTAACATGCGGACCAAATACAACAGTGAACGATCTCTTTCCAACATTCCTCTTTCGGAGTTCTTCACAAGTCGCAGTAGGCGGTACTCTCGGACCCAGACGAGACTTGCCTGGTCTACATCCTTAGCTTATTATTGGTTGTTATGACACATTACACCATGTCATCATGTGTTATTTTAGTATCACACACATTATTACAAACAACCCTACAAATCATTAGTATTGAATTAAAGGCCAAGATTTGAAATCTAGTCAATTTCACAATGATAGATGGACCCATAATCAAATGTTAACTATAGTTCAATATCTTATCAAAAAATTAGTTTGCTTATGAAAAATGAATACTGTTGCCCTTCTAAAAAATCAAGATTGAATGATTCACTCCAAAATAATTTAAAGAGCATTATTATTGTTATGATAAGTTATGCCACACGTTTGTTTTTTTTTTTTTTTTTTTTTTTTTTTTTTGTAGATAGATTCACAATCCTTTAATTCATAAGAGTAATGATTTGAAGGCTAAGATGATAAAATCTAACTTATTTTTTGGCTTGTTATATGATCCATCATAGAAGATTAATTAGTCTCTATTTTTTTTTATAAAAAAAAAATAAGGTTATACATATAAAATAGAAACTATTTGCCCATATGACCAAATTGGATTGATTGTTTCACCATATGCAATTTATAAAACATTATTTTACAATATGACACATTATGAAGGGATAATGAAATTTGACTGATTTCATGATTAGCTGCAAAATGGCATTGGTTGTGAAGAATAACCCATCATTTTCTTAGTCCAAAATGGGGCTTTATGTAAACAAAAAAATGTTCCATATATTACTTTGGTGTTAAGCAAACTTCCCTATTTTTATGATGGATAAAAAATGTCCATTTCCTTGAACAATGTGAATTTTCTATAAGGAATAGTAGACTCTGGTTCACCACGGATGCTCACACTAATAACCAATGGTCAAATTGGATAAATTCTAACTTAGAATTGAAATTGATGCTAATATGATTTTTAAAACTATGGAAATGTCTATAACACTAAAATATCACACAAACACAAGGTGTAACATTATGTAACATGCAAGAGCATGCCATAATTTACTTTTGTGAATCAATTTATCCTAATTTGGACTTTAATTCAAGTTTAATACAAAACTCAATTTTTGATAATAAATTGTGGACTTTAATTCACCTATAATGCCCATCATAAAATCGACCACATTTAATCACCTTAGCATTCAAATCATTACTCTTATGAATCTTTAAGATTACACCCATCTAGAATACGAAAATAACACATAAATATATGCCATAATGTGTTGCAAGGTGTAGAAATGTTCCATAGGTTACTCATGTTTCAAGCAACCAATCTAAATTTGGCTAGGCAAGCAAAAAAATTAAGACTTCATTGGTTAGATTAGCAAGTAATGCCCATTTTCATGCACAACCCCCTTTTCTAACAAAAAAAATAATACACTAAAACTTGTAACATCCCATCATTTTAGCCTTCAAAACATAACTCAAATAAATTTTATGATTTTATGCATACAAATGATGCTAAAATTGCATATCAAGTCATGGCAACATGTTTTAATGTATAGTAGTCCTTTAGATTACTTCAGTTTCATAATTAACTTGTAGTGCTACTCTCCAAAGCCGAATAAAACTCGAGCTCGCTCAAATTCAGCTCATTTACACCCTGAAGTTCAATCCTTTAAAACAAAAGATAAAATGAAGGAGCAATCGCTCAAATTCAGCTCATTTACACCCTGAAGTCCAATCCTTTAAAACAAAAGATAAAATGAAGGAGCAACAACTATCGAAACTCCTGAACAATGCCATAATAGCATTATCCTTCACAAATTAATGCCTTCATGCTATACAAACATTGATTAACTAAGATTCAAAAGAAAAATTAAAATCATCTTCTCTGACAAAAAAGAAAGGAGTCACTTGATCCTCAGGCCTGAGATCTCGCGAAAAAATTCGTGGAAATTCTTTCGAAACCGGTGCCGGTTGGGCCTGTCGAGGGAAGATGAAAGCTTGTTTGAGCTTGTAAGAGAGTGAAATGCATTTGCCAACCTGGTTCTCAGAGAATGGATTGGTTGTTTTTCAAGGAACTCCTGTACCAGCCTCTGCACAAGGAAATGAGCCTAATTGATACAACAATTTGCAGTGAACATTGGAAGAAGCTTCTTAAAGATTGCAACTATTTAGAAAGCAATCTAAAAACTACAGATTACGTGCCTGGTATAAATCTTGCTCACATAGGATTAGTGGAAGAAGTGCATCAGCTGCAGAACCAGTAAGATCCACTCTGCAATAAGAACAAAAACAGGAAAAAAATATAAAAATAAAATAAAACCTGGAGAAGTAAATAAAAAATACCCCATACATAGATATAATCAATGACAACCACAGGATTATTTGAAATATATAAAGATACGCATGAATATACCAAAACATTAGAGAAACATTTAAAAGAAAAAAAATGATTTTTGACATGTAGATATACCCATATGAAGTAGGCTGCCCAGGTTAGAGATCCTAATGTAATTAATTTGCTGACTAATATACATAAGCGAAAAAAAAGGAGGGAGAGGGATTCAAAGGATTCACAAGTCACCAGCAAATGATTAACTCAGTTGCTCGCTTTCTTTGAATTTGAAAATGCAATACTTGTAACAAAATCCAACGGATGAAAAAAATGTTATATATATGTGTGTGTGAGTGTATGTTTATTTAATTAATGTTAATGAAAAATTTTACGAAAATGTTATATATATGTGTGCATGAGTGTTTGTTTATTTAATTAGTGTTAATGAAAAATTTTATTGAATCAGGATTCTAAATATAGAAATTTCAGCTTGGAACGAGAAGTTGGTCAAGTGTGCGAGCTAAAGGAGGGAGAGATCCGAGCAAACTTCAGTAAGGTAAGCTTGGGTTTATATTATAATGTAATTAATAAATTTTAAATAAATATATCAAATAGCAAAATAAAATTAATTATGATTACATAAAGTAAAATTAGAAATTAATACTTAAAATTGTAAAGCTAATAGTTAATTAACTTAATATAAATAAATTATATTTTAGTAATTTGAATGTCTATGTTTATTAAATACATCAATTTTAGAAGAGTCAAGATCAAAGTAAATCCAAGAACAAATAAATAGATGTTGAGGTGAGTACTCTTACTCTTAAATTATTGTATCATTTTGTATCTCTTCTCAACAAGTTGTATTAATTGTTATTTATGCTTAATTAATACAATTGATTCCTCTATTCTTAAACTTTATCAGTGATTTAGATAAAAATGCTTATAGTCTTTCATTATAAAATATTTAATGCATCATAGTATTTAGTGTTACATATTGAGTGATATCAAATTGTGAATTATATGAACTGCATATACTGCTTGTATATATATGCTTAACTATAATTGAGTCATTCATTTATGATAATAGTGAGGAATGCTAATGTATTTGTGTACGTAAATGAATAAAGAAATTGACACTGAAAAACTTTAACTGAAAATTTTTTTAAACTAACTCCTGCGACAGTTGTGCATAACTAAAAGATGTAGACATGTTATTGATATAGTAAAAAATCTTAAAAATTATAAAATATCGCGAGTTATCATATTCATAAACTATCAAATATTTTATACTAATGAATATATTAGAGAAACATTTAAAAGAAAAAAAATTTTTTTTTTTGACATGTAGATATACCCATATGAAGTAGGCTGCCCAGGTTAGAATTCCTAATGTAATTAATTTGCTGAATAATATACATAAGCGAAAAAAAAGGAGGGAGAGAGGGATTCAAAGGATTCACAAGTCACCAGCAAATGATTAACTCAGTTGCTCGCTTTCTTTGAATTTGAAAATGCAATACTTGTAACAAAATCCAACGGATGAAAAAAATGTTATATATATGTGTGTGTGAGTGCATGTTTATTTAATTAATGTTAATGAAAAAAATTATTAAAATGTTATATATATGTGTGCGTGAGTGTTTGTTTATTTAATTAGTGTTAATGAAAAATTTTATTGAATCAGGATTCTAAATATAGAAATTTCAGCTTGGAACGAGAAGTTGGTCAAGTGTGCGAGCTAAAGGAGGAGGGAGAGATCCGAGCAAACTTCAATAATACCAGCTTGGGTTTATATTATAATTTAACTGATAAATTTTAAATAAATATATCAAATAGCCAAAAAAAATTAATTATGATTACATAAAGTAAAATTAGAAATTAATACTTAAAATTGTAAAGCTAATAGTTAATTAACTTAATATAAATAAATTATATTTTAGTAATTTGAATGTCTATGTTTATTAAATACATCAATTTTAGAAGAGTCAAGATCAAAGTAAATCCAAGAACAAATAAATAGATGTTGAGGTGAGTACTCTTACTCTTAAATTATTGTATCATTTTGTATCTCTTCTCAACAAGTTGTATTAATTGTTATTTATGCTTAATTAATACAATTGATTCCTCTATTCTTAAACTTTATCAGTGATTTAGATAAAAATGCTTATAGTCTTTCATTATAAAATATTTAATGCATCATAGTATTTAGTGTTACATATTGAGTGATATCAAATTGTGAATTATATGAACTGCATATACTGCTTGTATATATATGCTTAACTATAATTGAGTCATTCATTTATGATAATAGTGAGGAATGCTAATGTATTTGTGTACGTAAATGAATAAAGAAATTGACACTGAAAAACTTTAACTGAAAATTTTTTTAAACTAACTCCTGCGACAGTTGTGCATAACTAAAAGATGTAGACATGTTATTGATATAGTAAAAAAATCTTAAAAATTATAAAATATCACGAGTTATCATATTCATAAACTATCAAATGTTTTATACTAATTTATCAAAGGTTTAACTAACATTTATATTATTTGATTTTTTATTATGTTACTTCAGTTTAAGAGTGAGTATATTCATTATTTTAGTTAGCTCACTGTTGTTTTAAAATAATATTTTAGATTTAATTAATTGATTTAAAATTGAGAAATAGAAGAAAAAATGTTTATAGAAGACACAGACAACTAAAAATAAGATAAATGTTTTGCTTTATTGCATTTTTATAGTGGTTTTTTTATTATTACTACGTTATAGAAAAAAATTAATTTTCACCGTCCGAACGCTGTACACGTCTTAGTTAATTCCAAGATCTGGGCCAAGTCGCGACATAAATTTAACGTTCTAACAAATAGCACAATAATAAATGGATGAGATGCACCCATATCAAACAAAATCCTTATTGGTTTATCATGAAAGGATATGATACTTATTATATGATAGTTATATTGAACACTTGAAATGAATTCTTTAATGTGTGTTTAAATTTGTAATCCTTAAAGTGAAATGTATTATGATGCAACTAAAAGTTAATAAATTATAATTTTACTGAAAATAAAATATATCTGTGATAACTTTAGGTGACTCATTAGCTTCTTGCTGAGATAAAAACCTATATCTTGGGTTGGATGTTATGTCGGGTCTCACTTCAATTTGGCACTGATCCTATGGACTCAGTTGTCCACTACCTGCCAAAACTCCGCTAATAAGGTGCATAATCGACCATGATCTCTGCCCTCTGTCCCATAATAATCCTCACTGTGTCCAAGCTGATGACACCCAGAAACAAATACTCGATCCAGATAAACATTCACTGTTATGAAAGCTTTCACACTTTTAACTTCCTTGCATCACCCAGTCCGCCAAAACAAGTGGGTTTAGCCTTCTTTGCATTTGAACTCCCTGATTGAAATGATTGTTTGTTTTGGAAACTCTATGAAAATTTAAACCCCTTTGTTGGAGCTGTGTTCGTAAGCCCAGCTTAATTCTATAAAGGCTCTTTTCGATCAAGCTTAAAATCAAAGTTGATACGATATCACTACTGTAACGATCTGCCTCGAGAACTTAAAATTTAAGAGGGCGGGAACAAACAGTGTAACAAAAAAAAGTTTAATTATTAATATTAATCTAATATAAAATTCATATAGAAAAGAACTACTAATCCACAATATATTAATAAAAATCTTCTCATAAAACACATAATATCATCCAATTTACTATAGTAACACAAGTAATTCAACAAAAGTGACATAACATAACAAAATAAACAAATCACTGTCAATCATCCACATCCCTCTCCTCTTATAATAAAACACGGTCCTATCAGACATCTCTATTTAAAGGACAATTTCTTGAAAGAATGGTTAAATAGTAGCTTAAGTTTAAGCAACTTATTGAATAATTATTACTTTATTAGGCATTAAATATTATGCAAATGCCTAACATGATTTCGCAAAAGAACATGTTGATCAAACAATAAAACTTTATTTATAAAATCTGTACTTATAATTCACTTAATTTTTTTAAATTAATGAATTACCTTTGTCATTTATTTTTTATTTTAATTTAAGAAATCTTCTCAGAGTAACGTCAAAATATTCCAATAAAGGTACACTTTTTACCATTTGTATCATAATTATATCATAAAGATACACATTTATTGTATTCATTAGAAAGTGAATCATGATATACTTAACATTAAAATTTTCATTTACAATTATTTCATTTCTTTAATTCATTACTTCCATTTATTTTTCATTTTAATGTAGAACAAAAAGCAAACGAGTTGAGATCATAAAATATTCTTTTTTACTTGATTTCTTTCAATTTTAAATGTGTTTTGAATATATAAAACAAATGAAACATTTAAAATAAAAGTAACTAAATTTAATGCAAATAAAATAGTAATTACTCACCTAAACCTTTCAAAGACATACTTATAAGCTTAATCATCCACTTTACTTCCTCTTATCATAACATATATCAATTTAAAAATGCATATATAAAGATTTCATTTTTAAAATAACTCCGAACATATAATTCCTTAATTTAAATATTTTTCTCAATTATCTTTTGAATCATAAGTCATTCTCAATTCTAATTACAAATTCCACTCACAAGATTTATTATTCACTTAGTGGCATTTAAATAAAACAACTTATATAATTAAAAGCATAAGCCTTACCTCCACTTTCAATCTCAAATCCGAATAGCCTTCTTCCACACTTCTTAATTCAATAAAATTTAATAACATTAATTTAACTAATTATATCATTTATTCTAATAACAATATATACCTTAATATTTACCTTATAAGCTCTCGGATTGATCCCCTCGTCACACACTTTACCTTCCTTCAGAATTTTAATTAACCCTAAATACATATTAACACTTAATATGAGTTCAATTTATTACATATTACAAA